AAAAAGGACGCTGTTTATCGTCTTCAAAATAACTGAAAATCACTGTGTTTTGTAGCTCAATGTGTGGACTTTGAGAAATGATATTTGAAAATCAATGACATGTAAGGAAACACGATCAGCTACGGTGAAATTTCGCTTCTTCGCAAATTTTCACCATGAAATACAAGGGCAAAGGAGACGACGAAAGGAAAATAAAATTGTTAAAAAGGACGCTCTTAACAATTTCGTGTTTATTTGCCTTTCCTACAATGGAATCAAGAATAGTTTCCCTCTAGGATTTCATCTTGTAAAACGTTCCAGGTAAAACAGATCAAAAGTTATTCTCAAATAGTCTTTTTGATCCGTAAATTTCTTTTTAAAATTTAACAAACATATTTTTATGCTTTATGCGAAGTACCGCTGCTATTGCGGGCTCGTATGTCCGAGTTTTCTGGCCATGATTATATTGGAAGAAAAACTCAATATCAAGTTGTAAAAGCTCAAAAGAAGCCAGAACATAAGTTCACAAACTACTCAAAACAAAAGCGTGAAAAGCCGAATGGATTCAAACCGTTTTCGCTTGGCAAGAATGAAACCCTCTTCTTATAATTGTAAAGTCTACTAGTACTTTGCTTGATTCAATCACGGGTAGCCCATGCTTATTACTTGCGATGTATAAGAGAATGTACGTGAGTCAATATAAACAGTCGATTTCTTACATAAATATACATTAAATTTCGCTATAACTTAAGCTTTCTCAATGAAAACAGTTGCATAAGGCCTCGTCTATCAAGTATATATACTTTTGCAATTGCTCGATGCAATAACTTCACGGTTGCTGGAAAAAGAAACAAAATTGTATCTGTATATTGATGGACATCCACTTCGAAAAAGTAATCTACACCGGCGGCCGCGACGATAGAAGCGAACAAGAGAAAATGAGGTAAGAGAAGGAATCCCTGTTACCCATCATATCAGCCCTTCGTTCTATTTTTAGAAAAAGAGCTATTTTTAGTTTGTTACCAAGCCCGCGCGATCACTACTCATTTATCGGCTATTTTTCATCGCCAAAAACTGAATGTCAAATACTGTTCGAGAAAAGCTACGATTTCGCTTTTAAAAAGGAAACTTCTCGAAGAAAAGGAATCTTCTTCAAAACAAAGAAAACTTGAAAGTGTCGAAGAAGAATCAGCTTCTGAAGGTAATGTGACATGAAATTAGATCGACAATCTGACCTCTCGAAATCACATCACTCGACGAAAGCACATCACTTTCACATGATTCATTGGTGTCTTCAACTTCAGACGTATCAGTAGTATCTTCGTGACCCTGCCCGACACTTTCACCATTTATAAACCAAAACCACTGCTTTCTTGTTCTTCCTCTGCATTTACCGCTTAATATCAAATCGTTTTCGTTCACAAAAGTAATCTCTCTCTCGACCTCTATTTTGAATTATTTTCTCGCGCCTTACCAAAAACGGCTGAGCGACCTCGCTTCATACGATCTGACCAATCATATTCCATTTCTAAAAATAGCTCTTTTTCTAAAAATAGAACGAAGGGCTGATATGATGGGTTAAGAACGCAGTACCAGGGATTCCTTCTCTTACCTCATTTTCTCTTGAAGCGAATCAGTGAAAATTTGTGAGTAAGGTAATAATAATGTATTTGTGTATGAAAATAAGCTGAATCTATGAATCTATTGATAATTATTTCTAAACCAATATTTTATTGATAAACTAGAGATTTGAAACATTAATGGGGTTCTACCCAATTCGGCATATATTGCCAACATTTTCTGCTTTACAGTGAACACCCAAATACGTTTACAGAATCGCAAGTGAAGTTTTTCTTCATCAGATGTTAGGACATACATTTTCTGCTTAAAGACATCTAAACTTTTCACTTTTCCTAAAAGACTGGGACCCCAACTTCACAAGCAAATAGCAAGACGGATTGTGCAACCGAATAAAACATCTTTAGTAAAAACATTATCCATACTGGAAAAATACTTAAAGGGACATGGTCCATCAGCATCCCTTTCGAGCTTTTGTTTATGTTTGAAAATAGAAATACATCGTAATATAAGCAAAAACTTACTCTTTATTATTCCTTTATCCTATATGAATGAAGATGCTTTAAGATTCGACCGTTAAACCGATGGATGGAAACGAATTGCAAATAGATATTCGAAGTCACCTCATTTTCCATATATGAAAAATCTAAAACACGACCGCATTGCATGCTAGTGGACCATGTCCCTTTAAACAAAATATGATAGGCTCTCAAAGCTTTAATATATAAAACCTTTCTAGCTCTTTTAAAACCACCAGAGTAATGAAATGTTACACCAAGGTATGCATATTCGTCAACAACTGCTGCTTATTAAAATACCAAGAGCAATACGAAAATCTACGCCTTCTAGCATGTGTCACAAAAACTAAAACTTTTGAATTGTTCAGATTTACATTTAATTTCCATTTTTTTAGTATAGCAAGCTAATTTCAGTAAACAGCATTGTAAACCAGTCTCAGACTCAGAAAGAATAGCCAAATCGTCAGCATAGAGAAAACAATTTAAACGAGTGTTTCCTAACACAACCGGCTGGCAACCTTGAGAGTGGGTGAAAATATCCGGGATATCATTAATAAACATGTTTTAGCTATTTAAAAATAGTGTAGGACTAAGGTTACAACCCTGTTTGACTCCAACCTCTGATTTAAAAAATGGAGTTATTCCTTGCCCTAACTTTACGGCCGAACGGACAGAAAAATACACATTCACAAGTAACTTTAAGAAACGCTTGCTACAACCACATTTGATCAATTTATAAAACAAACCCTCTCGCCAAACACTATCGTAAGCCTTTCTGAAGGTTTTCCCTTAGTTTTATAATAGTCAGTTAACGTTTTCAGAACTAGAATATGTTCAGAAGTTTTAAAACCTTGTCAGTAAACCCAATTTGGTATTTGTTCCATATATCATTTGATCACAGAAATTTACATAAACGTAAAATCATTACTAACGTGAATTGTTTTCCTAAACAGACAGCTACTCGCGCCGATTCCTCTGTAATTTACTTCCCGTTAATAATTGTAGCCTCCCCTTCCCCAGTACCAAATGTTCGAAAGTATTTTTGCATATAAGTGAGATTCTTAACGACTCCTTCCAGAAGTTTGATTTTCTCTTAGCCTGCGTAGTGGCCCTAAAGGGATTGGGCAGAGCCTCCCTAATCCCTTTAGGGTCAGTATGCAGGCTATTTTCTCTCGCCCAATACATGGGCTCGATAAACGGCGGCGCTTCGCGCCAGCAAAGACATGTAACGAGAAGTGAAAATATCGATCGTCTGGGGTCGGGGTGTATTATCATTCTTATTTTTTTTATTATTTATTTAAGGTCACCGTTGACAATACACCACAGCAACAGTGCTTAGCAACCGGAGACCCTCACTACACAACATTTGATGGCAGGTTCGTCAAAATAAAAAACAGAATAAATCAAACTTACCTATACCTTTGACATATATTTTCCTGTAAACTGGCAAGCGGTGTGCGCGCTCTTGTTGCAATGTTTGAGATACAGTCAATCCCATTAACGTTGTTTATTTGTAAAGATATAAAGACAACAAGTCATCTGCATATTTTTTTAATACCGGCGAAAAATGCTTGCAAGTTAAAATTTATTGACATTGGCATAAAGCTAGAACTTGAAGTTGAATAATCTTACAAAACATACAAATATGATATATGAAAATGACACTGCTGTTATCTTTACATCTCTAGAACTGAACAACGTTATGGGATTGATTGTATGCGAATCATTTGAACATGATTTCGTCGCGATAACAAAAGCTTAATTTAACTGAGTCAAACACACTCATTGTGCAGTTTTAATATGTAAACTGGCGTGTAAACAGTCCAGTCATTCTACGAAATGACCTGTCACTAATTGCAACAGAAGCTTTTTCTTCATTAACATGTCCGTTAGTAACCCATTAACTACCAAAAAAAAGTCCCAGAAGATTCGAGTAGGGGAAGGTCCTAAAAATCGGGTTTTTGTGTGACACTATAAAATTGCATATAAATGTACCAACATGGAAACGAGGCTGACACCGGAAGTTGCTATATTTGATCGCTAAAATACTCGATTATTATTTAAATCCACACAAAAGTTGTATTATTGCTCTAAGATGGTGAAAATGTTTTCTAAGCAATAGATTTTTACATTTTTGGCATTCAACTTATATCAGAATATAAGAAACGGTTGTCTCAAAGTGAAAGTGCTTACATTCTCATGTTACAAGCTGTCTCTTTATAGTTATGTTTTTATTTACCAGTGACGAATCACATGCATCGCTAAAATGTTTATACAATACATTTTTATCGCGAGTTGTTTTATAGTAAAATGTTATGCTATTCGTTATTTTGCATACAGCTGATACAGAGCATTTTAAACGAATCCTTCAAATAAAACAATATATGTCAGAAAACAATCAAGTTATTTATTGGTTTTATTCATGGCACTATGGATATTATGTCACTTGGACTCAGTCGATCATTGGCAAGAAGTGGACTGAGGACTGACACTGGTGAGCCTACTCTTCTGGAAGCTTTGCATCATTCCATACCACGCGGACCGCGCAGTCCCAAATAACAGTGAGGTCTTCCAAAGGCCGACATGAAGACTGGTAAGACTAGCTGTGGGATCCAAAGCGTGTTTCACTAGCACGYTGTTGTACCTGAGATGTGTTATGGGAACTCGAACTCTGCTGTTGTTATCTCGTCAGYGCAGTGGTAACTTAACGTTTCGGAACACGACGGTTTCAGGCGCGTATAGTCCTTTACGCATATACCAGATATACGCACGTGCGTACTAGTAGCAAAGAAATATTAAGAAATATTTTCATAAAAATTACTGAAAAATTCACATAAAACTGATCCCTTTTGTATGCCCTCGGCAAAACGCTGGAAATCACATATCCAAGAGTTATTATTTCAAAATTTTCCTTGGGGAGATCAAGTCCGCCTTTTGCGCTCGTTAGACCCCTCAGATCCAAAATGCCCTCGCGCTCCCTTTTGGCGTACGTATACTAGCCAAAAAGTCCACGCTACGCGCCTGGTTTTCGCTTTGTCCCTAGCATCATGATTGCAATTATCCCAATACCGTGTTATGTCCGCCATGATCAACGTTATCTTCCGCGGCATAGTAATCAGGAAGATCAGTCCCTTGATCTACTGATGCACTCAAGACATGTAGGTGTGGTATCATCGCTTTCACCTGGGTTCAGACCATTCACTCTCAAGATGCACTCATGTTGTATGCTTGAACATCGTTACATGGCGAGCAAAATTCAAAACAGTAAACGYGAATTGACAAGGAAACGTGAAGCGCTACACTATTAGTCCATTTGTAGCGGTGCATTTAAAATGACTGGGTCATGCTACTTTCATTATATAGTTTGACCTAACAAAGCGCGATCTTCAAGTCGTTTCTTACCGTAAATATTTCAAGTAGCAAGTGCACTAGAGATAATGGCTTCCCATTTATGTTTGTAATAATGACGTCTTCAACTGAATGTTCTTTTATCTTTGCTCTTATATGGGTGCGGCCATAGGCCTTCTCCCTCCCAAAAAGTGACTCATTTTTCTGTCAGATCAGACACCATTATTTGTTCATCATCATTTTCTATTAAGAATTCAACTGTTTTAAGAAACGCTTGTCTTTTCTCTTTAGGATGTGCATGTGTATTTATAGGCACTTTTTCGTTCTAAAGTTCACACTCGTGGTACACTGAGTCAGCTGCAGAGACGCGCTCCGACTCGGACAACTTCAGCTCATGATGTGAATGTCACAGGTTTGACATCCTCTCGAGGGGATCCGTATAAACAATTTGACTGAAAAGCGACGACCGATGACGATGACGACGACAWTGAAGAAGGTCGAAGCCTAAACAATAGTTTTATGTGACAATATCAACATTACGCTATTGCGTGACACTAGGTCCCGTATGTATTAATTTATTCAGAGTTCTCGTTCGGTTCATGTATGTTGTGAAGTAGTGATCCTGTGATCATTAAAATACTATTTCAAACCCCAGCTTTAAGCACATCTTGTTACATCTTATTTGAAAACTAATGAATAGGTTAAATGTTCAAAGAACATTTATAAGACCAAAGTGAATTGGGCTTAAAATTCCTAGACATTAAATGAAATGAACAAGCTACAACCTCTAAGAGGACACGACAGTTCGAATTCGCGATCGCATGATCTATTTTATCTATTTCGTGTATCTGTCGATTCAATTATTTCATATGGTATATTTTCAAATACAATAAAACAAAAGTAAAATTTAAAGAGAATGATAAATAAAAAAACCTAATGTTTATTAAACATCGTAAGCATTAAGTTTGATGACATTTTATCATAAGCATTATTCCAATGTTTCGAAAATGCATTTCAAACTTTAGAAGATAATAARTAAAATATTGTTTTAGACATTGAATGCTTGTTTTCATTTGATTTTTATTTACATTTAAGTAAGTATAATCTCGTGTTTTGATTGTAGCCTCGTTTCCATGTTGAGCTCAAATGGCTGTCAAGATAGTCATAAATAACCCTCGTTTTTACTCTCTTCCCCTCTTGGGACTTTTTGGGACTTTTGATATGTTGTAAAGCACATAATTCTGAGTCGAAAACCGTTGAGAAACCTTCTGTTGCAATTAGTGGCAGGTTGAGGCCAAAATTTTCGTAGATTGACTGGACGATCTGAGCAAATGTAACGCTTTCATAAAACGTTTATAGTAAGCTAACATCTTTTTTATCCTTATAACGATAACCTGCACAGTTCGACACGTGTATCACGGTACTCAGTTTTTTTTTGTTGTTGTTGTTTTTTGGAAATAACAAACTCTGTCTTCCGAAAAGTCAGTAAACATTGCAAAATAGAGACCCAAGTTCATAGACGCATAATTCAAGAGCATATTTGAACAATTTGTAGGTGATTTGGAGAAGTTTTTGATATCAGGAAATGAAAATATATAAATAATTATTAAATTACAATCCACTCTGTAATGATCGAAGAGACTCTTTCTTTGCCAAGACTCTGACAATACAGCTACTTCAAAAAACGTGGTCGGGGAGAACGGCGAACGGCGATTGTCGAAGGGAGTTGCACGACGGAAATGGACTATGGTTACACTGTTTTGATAAACAAAATTTCACTTATTGGATTCACCTTACATAGAAATGGAAACTAAATGGAGCAAATGTTTAGCGCAGACCATCTTACAGTACAAATCAGTTATTATCTTTCAACTAGCAAAACCCATGGCTACTTTCGGTCGTGCAATCGCCGTTCGACAATTGACATTCGCCATTTTATCCAACCTTTTTTGAAACAGCTATATATGACATTAGTTTCCAATTCACTATAGGTTTTCTTTGTTGTCATAGGGTTGTATATATGATAGAAACTTAAAGCTGGGGATCACTCATATATAGCACGCTGAATTTATAACGAGTTATTCAGTTCAATTCATCAACCCCACATTTCCCTGCTGAACATCAAATAAATTAAACTAAGTAAACTAAACTATTTTTCACCTAAAAAAGAGCAGTGTGGCCAGCAGATTTAGAGTGTAATAAGTTCGAGTGCCGCAGCTTTTCTTTAAGTTCATCAGAGACAACAATAATCAAGATCTTCGTTACTTTTAAAAGAATCCATTCTTCGGAATTAACCAACGTGTATGAATCAGAAGTAATCGATGTGGTCGTGTTTTCCTCCGCTCCTCGGTCCACATGGCCATTTGGTACTTTAGTTTGTTCCTTCTTGAATCCTTCCCTCGTATTTTTTCGAGCGAGTTCAACATAAAAAAATATTGTAATTTTTCTCATTTTCCCATCTGCAGACTTTGTCGTCGTTATTTGTGGGCAGAGGTAAGCGGAGTTCAAAATCCGATAGCAAATCGTCAATATTAATTCGGCAAAGGAATGATGTCAAACGTATTTTGAGCTAGAAACAAATCGTCACTGCTCGACATCATTTCCAGAATGACTGTTAAGAATATTTGATAACAATATTCAAATTCCGATTGCTCGCTTTCGCATGAACAGGTTTTCGTAAAGGAAACTAATTTCAACAGTCCATGGAAAAGTCTCAAGAGGAGAGGATTCTATTGTTCGAAGCCGAACTAAGAAAACATTCATTTAGTCTATTCAGTTTTTGCGAAAACCACGTGAATTGAAAACTAGGTTTGTTAGTTACATCGCAAGTCGCCGGCCCTCGGGCTGTATATAGCGTAATGCCTCCGTTCTCGGTAACTTACTCTTACTTAAGTGAAGCGGAAATAATCTTTCGACATGTAATATGCAAATGTCATAAATTAATGCATTGCGCGAGGAGTGTGTACACCGCCTGGTCGCAGCAATTTAACAGTCATCTTTAACAGTATGCACCTCATTTTATCCCCGGTAGATATTACGACTTCATGCCTATTGGGGACTACGTTCTTTACAAAAACACATTCACCAACACCGAGGTATGTATTATGTTATGCATTGCAAAACGTTACTGACAACGATGCCGACATACAGAGGCAGATGAGTCGGGGAAATTAACCTGCCCACGACTGAGGTCCAGATGTAAGAGTAAGGAAATTTCAAAAGCTATTCTTGTAGGTTTTGAGTGCATAGAATCTTCTGTATAAACTATTATAGATAAAAAAAGCAACTTGAAACTGGAAGTAAAAAATCAAAAACGTAATAAGCTTAACTGCATCTTTATTATTGTAAATAACGTGTGAATAGCAAGTTACATTTTTCTATGAAGCTAAAAATTGAGGAATTGGGAAAATTAGCCTTTTTTTCGTTGTGATTATCATTATTTCTTGCGATTAACTTAAGAAAGGATCGAAGGAATCCGTATCGTAGCCGTACCGTAGCGGTATCGCGTCAGCATCGGTTTCCCACTCATACGAAAACGAATCTAAAGACTCTCATTTTCGAGGTTTTCTGTCTAAAAAGACTTTGTAATTTACGCTAAACGCAGCAATAAATTTGTAGTTTTTACTTCAGTAGAGACTTTTGCCGCCTGGTCAACACTTGTCAAATGATTAACCAATGAAATAACGAAAAAATTACTCGGAAGAGAAATAGTCCTCAAAATATCACATTTGCCCTCGAAGCTTCGCTTCTCGGACAAATGTTCATTTTTCGGACCATTTCTCATCCTCGGACATTATCAGCCGATATCCCAGCCGCCAGAAGGGGTTTATTTACTAAATAGTACCCCTCAGCGGCGGACACTATTGCGTCTCGTGGTTGACTTTAGAAAACTAGTTGTTGAATTATAAGGTGTAATAGAACTTGAGCTGTGCATATGCACTTTATTTAACAAATAAATAAGTCTCAGCCGTGGTTTATACTCTCATAAACCACACTTTTTTGTCCAATCAGAGCGCGCGTTAGAAATCATCTATATAACAAAATAATGATACTCATGAGGATAAGTTCACATTATTATGAATGCATACATCAGTCCTGACAACCGCGATAGTAAGTTGTTGACACCTCCGAACTACAAACCCACAATTCCAAACAAATCCATGGTTTATTTATCGGTTTTCTCGGTCGTGAATTTCTGTGAATGCACGCCGATATACAAGCAACTAAAAAACAACAAGCGTGACACCCAGAGTGACACGTGACACATCTAACATGGAATCGAGGCCGCTACATAATTCGATAACTTCACACAAATAGGACATTTGTATTTAGTTTGTAACATTTGTATTTAGCATGTATGTATGTATATATATGGTTTGTATGTAAGTCTGTATGTATGTATGTATGCTTTTCTCTACGAGTAATGCTATGATGTAATATGTTTAGACAAATATGATTCGAATTTCTAGGCTATACACCGCGATTCGAAAAAATGTTGGACGCCTCGGTAACAACATATATGTTTTCACAAAAACTCGATTTTTCAGGAAATTGGTCGGATGTATTTTGATGCAAAATACAATGTATCATAGTATAGGTTTTCTATCACATATTTGATTCTATAAGTTTATATTTTTATTTAATGTACATATACTAGTATTAATAAATTTTATTTTCACGGTGAAAATACAGCATACAAATTTTTCTTTCTGTATATATATAGTTAAACTATCTATCGACTTCATCTAGGTACATGCTCGTTCATGGGTTTGTGGGCATCCGTCTTCTGCTGTTACGTGCAATTGTGGAGCTGCAATTCGTGAGGGAGCTGATATCATCATTTTCGACATATGCAATGCAAATCTTGTTCAAACGCCTAGACTTTTGAAAACTGAAATACGAAGTGAAGGTGGCCTGGCACCAGGGACCCATATTATTAGAACTGTTCAAGGCATCACAGTTACGCATGATGTGAGTAAGATTTGCTGAAAAACAAATGTTTAAATGTGTCTCAAGCAGTGTGGTGTGTTTTCGCAAAATATAGTCTATTAAAATCGTTTGCAGCCTCTAGCGAATTGTGATGACCCCCGAACTCTACGAGAACCTCGTTCTGCTCTGTATTATGAACAAATGCGCCTTTTTCCCGTTCAAAGCGTACACAACAGACTAAAATGTCTTCATTACAATGCTCCTACACATTTGCATTTTCTCCGATTTAAGGCTAAGCCTGTATTCCCAGAAGGCTTAAACTCTATGGGTGTTTACCATTTACACAAAATTTCCGGAAATTTTCGGATCAGTGATCAAAAGTTTCGGGTCAGTGAACATGACGTATAAAAACTTTCCAAATATGGCTTGCAATCGGATTAGGATGTGTCTTAATAATTGGCGCATTTTCATGCAGCTCAAAAGACGTGAATAATACGAAATGGAGGTTAACTTGCTTAGAAGTTTAATGTTGGTTGAATCTGCTGATGATGAAATTGAAAATTCATTTTTGACAACAACGAAACAAGAATTAACCCTTATGGAATTGCTTCGGTTTTTATGCGACTTGCATTACCAAGAAACGAAGGTTCTTTTGAAGTTGTTATTCAAAATATTGCATCATCTTCGAAAGCCACTTCAGGAATGACATGAACTGACAACTTTCGAGTTGCTAGCACAAAACATCTCTCAAACAGGCAAAATACCAACAGCAAATAGGTTTGGAAAAGCACCAATACCTTTCCTGGAAAACAAGTCCTAATTTTTCTCTGGTTTCTGGCCAACAACGAGGTTTTGAGATCGGTATCGGACCGCTTTACTTTTTTTTTGCACAGCTCAAAATATATTCACTTTCTTTTTTTACGACATTTTGATTAATCCTTGAAGAATGCGTGCGCGCTGACGTGCTGTTGCTCAGTACTGTTATTACTAGTTATTTGGCGATTTTTAAATAGTTTTTTAAAAAAACTATTTTCATACACTTTCAAGTTCTTTTTTAAGTTTTTGCACATAGATTGAATCTATTGATTGAGCTGGAAGAATCTCTCTTTCAGTTATTGTAATTTTCTTAGGATTGCTCTCGGTTTTTTTGAATGTCGTGCCTTTACAGCTAAACTCTCTCGATCAACTTTCTTAATCATGAACACGGGGAAAGGGACAACTCTTTGACCAGCACCAAAGTTTACCGGAAATTCACGTTGAAAATTTGGAATGGGATGCGTTTCAATAAGCTTCAAAACGGAATTCAAGAAAATTTGTTATGCAAATAAATCGGGAAAAGTGTGTTCCATTTACAATTGTGGTCACTGAACCGAAAATTTCCGGAAATTTTGTGTAAATGGTAAACACCCTATATGTCTCGTATACAGGCTTGGCCAGCAGCTGGGAGAATGGTATGTGCATGTTCCAACCAACTCTACAAGAGCTTCCATTTTAGCGAATCGTTTACAATTTTATTTAACGATTTTTGCCAGATTTTTGAATGGAAATTTAACGGAATACACGGGAAAAATCAAAACTATACCTTGTGCGTCTATTTTACTCAAAGGTGGACTTTATAGTTCTTAAACATTTAGGGCAACGTGCCTTTGAACTTTGAACGTGACCCGAATCAATATGGCGACCACGATGTTTACTCGATGGCGAAAATAGAACCTACTTTCTAGTTTGAATGGATAAAGCTACTTATAATCCACTAATAGCTGGTAAGTAACAACAGTTTTTATTTTTGTTTTGACAACTTATTGTAGCAATATCCAATTTCGTATCGTCCAGCATACTTATGATACAAACTAAGCGAATTTTAGCATTAACTTGGGATCAGAACATTATTCAAAGTCCGTTATCTTTAAAACGCCGAACCCTTACTTCCAACTTGAAAGCTCAATTATTATATTTCAAATGACCAATGGCTCTTACGGATAGCTCTCAGATTCCAAATAAAAACCCGCTTTGTGAGTTGTGACATTAATATCGCTCAAACCGGATAGCAAAACTGGTGAATAATATTGTGAAATTCGTTGAGACTAATCCAAACTTCTTTGAGAATTATATCGTATGTCTTTAATCAATTTTAATTCGCACTGTTTCTTGTCAGATGGAGATATAAGTTATTCAAAGATCGCCTTGACTTTATAGGCTATTTCGTTTAAATACATCTAGTTCAATTTTAGTTGCATAAATTATCTGAATCGTCTTTCTTATTTTGGCCTGTAGGCTATTAACTAATCCACATCTCCACTTATGTGATTTACTTTTATGTGATTAAGCAATGATAAAAGTATATAACTATGAACTTAAACGCTTAAAAAACTCCTTAACATGACTAAATTCAATATTTTTAGGAATTGATGCTCTGCTGCAACAGGTTGTGTTTGTGTGCTCGTCGATACACGGGTGTGGAGAAACCCTGGCCCTGGGACATGGCCCTACCTGTGGCCCACCCTAAATTTGCCTGTTTTCATCAAATATAGGTCCAAAATGAGTGACTCGTTGCCCAAAACCACGAGAAGCATTGCAATATCAAGGTAGGCCACAGGTTACCCAGACTTGCACACCAAAAAAAAGGAAGTTAAATTACTACATTTTGGATCAGGTCTCATGAACAGGAGCCTTAGATTTATTCTTTGAATATTTAAACAAGAAACCTCATCTGGAGTTTCACTCTTTTTTTGCTGAAAATTGAGCAAAAAATTCATTGTACACCAAATATTATCTGAGAAATCATGATACTATCTATATGACTTGGGCTATAGAAGGATGGTATCCCATAACTTTTTTATATATGACAGTAACTCTAAGCAATGAACATACTTATAGTGAGTTTTCAAACTTTTGGCTCAGTTTGGTAGCTCCAATAGCATTTTATCTTCTATTTCAGACAATTTGCTTTAAATGACTAACCAGTATATGATCCTACATGTATGTTACCAATGTAACGGTTTGTCCTACTGGAACTAAGCACTCCACTAAAATACACTTGTCATGAAAAACAAGAAAAAATAATAACAAACAAATGGCTTTTATTTGAGTTTGCTTACTCAACATTTAATACTAATCAACATTTAAACATGAATTAAGATTAATAGGCACCCAAAGTGTGCTTGAATGAAATGTTAACGCTGCTGGGATGAAAGTCTGGGTTTCATTCATTGACAGTTTATAAAAACATGATAGTGCTTCATATGTGGCAAAATCTTTGTTTCGCTTATGAAAATATAACTCAGTCACATGTTATGAAAGACTGGGTTCTAGTCATGTAAATACACAGGAAACCCAAAGCTGATAAAAATGAAAATGAGCCGTTTAAACGTGCAAATATTCAAATAATACAACTAAGGCTCCTATTAATTAGACCTGATCTAAATGTAGTAAAACAATTTTTTTGGTGTGTAAAACTAGCTAAACAGTCCAACCTGGGTGATTGATTTGCGACCAGGCCTGCATATGAATTCGCCAAGGTTGTAAGCCAGGGAGCCAGTGCATTTTGTTATGCGGTCATATTTGAAAATGTAGATAAAGGAAAGGGAAAACCCGCAGCTCTCCTTTCACTCAGATAAACAGTATAACTAAACAAAATGATTATAGGATTAAACCTTTAAGAATTGAATGCTCATATGAAACATTTTCCACCTTAAATACACACGTGTTTTTCAGAAGGGAATTTAGTTGATCTTTTTTCACGATGGAATTTTGTTTTGAGTCGTTTCGACATAAACAGAAGCTATCAAGCCATTACACGAAAAACCCCAGTCACCGTTCTAGCTCTCGTTGTAAGGTCAAAGCTGGTAAATGTGTAACTGACCTGTTACATAACGTCAAATCGTCGAGCACGCTTGCGGCTTATTGCCGAAAATGCGACAAAGGATGAACTACGACAGTTGTTTGTACCACAAATAACAAACGAATACGTGGACCTAACTAAGCTGCTCTAGCTCTTTCAGTGATGTTGTAGATACCTCAAAGCTTAGAGGAAACAAGAGCTAAGAAAAAGGATTTGAAATGGTTCCTCCTAAGATACTTTGTACTTGAACATCGCTTCTGACGACCTTCTGAAGTCTTCGTGAAGTCGGCCATTGCTTCACATGCAATGGAGAACCCGCGTAGAACACAGAACAATTATTTTTATCAGGGAGGGGAGTCCCGTGGTATTAAAGAAAAAATTATTTGGTATTTCATTTTTAAGATAAAATTCTATTTCTATAACGATAAATATTTGATTGACATTTAAAAGCTATTTTATAAAGATTTTCAATTTCWCTTTGYGTTTTAGCTTYRATTTTTCGGATAGAATAAAATGACAGGCAGCCTACTCCGCTGGGTCGAGTTTTGGTGTGCAAATTCCTCCCGTCGGAGGGTTATGTTTACAACAAAGCTTGTCAGCTTTGCGCTGATTGGCTAGTCGCATTTTCTCAAATCACCCAGACTGCATCGTATGCAAGTCTGGGTTACCTGTGGAAACAACATGGCTACCTTGTTTGCAATGCTTCTCGTGGTTTTGGGCAACGAGTCACTCATTTTGGACCTATCTTTTATGAAAACAGACAAATTTAGGGTGGGCCACAGGTAGGGTCATGGCCCAGGCCCAGGGTTTCTCCACACTCCACAGGAACGTTTGTCCGAATTAACTTCTTCGGGCTGCCAACGACATCAGATCCGAACTTGTTTGCAAGCTGTTAAGTTATAACGGCATTTAATTGTTTAAATATGTTGTACATTTAATAAAATGTTAAAATCTTCATTTTGTTATTCATTTATTATGTACCCCTCTTCTTGACTGACTCTAATACCAAAACATTCCAAATACGTCGTTTCTGATGAAGACGAACGTCGTGCACTATCCAAGTATCGTTTGCAAACTAAACATTTATATTTGCAAAGAGCACAAATAGCAAGACAAAATATGAGCAATAAAGATAATATTCGCGCCATTATTTGAAAGTATCGGCTGTTTCAAGAGTCCGCGATCACATTGAATTAATTTAATTGGTCGCGGTTGCGTGCATGCGCATGCAAATTTCCCAGCTGCTGGCCTAAAACAGGAGAAGAATCAAATTTCTATCTATGGTAATAAAAACATTTTTCCTGCTTTCTTTTGTTAGTTTTGGTGAGTTCTCTGCGCAAGTGAGTCTGTTGTTTGCTAAAATAGCAGTCGTAACATTGAACGGGAAAAAGGCTTATTGTCAATGAACATTTTTTAAATTTCTCTCTTTTTATAGCTAACGTATTGTTACAACATATAATGAGAAAAATATGGAACCCTCGCATTTTTTAATGAGGTAGAAGGCGTCTAAAAGGGTGGGATTTGTTCTTTGCTCCGCGTGTTTTGGAGGAAATCAAACTCACCTTTAAAAACATACTGACGCTTGACTATCAATAATTATAAATACTTATCTATAGGTTCTTCTTCCATCTGGCAACAGAGTCAAGGTCGAACGCTACGAGTGGGGTATTAGTATATATGTTAAAGCAATGTCTCCAAAAGATAATACCATATTTGGATTATGTGGCAATTTTAATGGACGACAAGACGACGAGTTTCATCAAGGAGGCGACAAACAAAAATATGGAGACCCGGTTTCTTTTGGAAAAAGCTGGAGGTAGTTAATTTTGATATTCTTAATTCATGGAACTTCATGTACATCGATTTGATTGAGTTAATTGGAGAGTGAGCTAAATCTCGCGCGAGCGGAGCACCATAGAAGAAAAAATATCCATCGAGTCCATTTTCCATGGACCGACACAGGTTTCCCGATCGTACCACAGGCAACCCAAGCAGAGCATTTGATTCAATTTTTTTTTTAATAAAATACATTTTACCTTAATCTCATGTGTTGCTGATGTTATTGAACATTGCTGTGTGTGATTTTGAAGGGATTTAGAGCTATTTTTAAAGAAATATGGCCATCATAAAAGACTAGTACAAGGCTTGTTACAGAGCGTCCACACCACTCGTCTTTGAAGGCCGAATAAAATATCTTAAATCCATCTTTTGCCTCCAAAATCCCCTCTAGGATCCTTCTATCCAGAATTGGGCAATATTTCAATGGACTTCAAATCAAACCGTGCCAAATCGTCATGTTTGTTGCTATTCTGACTCAATTTTTGAATCCGCTCATCGACCTTGATGGACACCGTTTTGCAAAACTCCCTCCGATTGAACGACAGTTACCATGGAATCGGTTCAAGTACTCCCTCTTGAGCGGATTTCAAAAATTGAGTCAAAATAGCGAGCAAATATGACGATTTGGCACGGTTTGATTTGAAGTCCGTTGAAATATTGCTCAATTCTGGATAGAAGGATCCTAAAGACATGCCGCTGAGGGGATTTTGGTTGCAAAAGATGGTTTTAAGATATTTTATTCGGCCTTCAAAGACGAGTGGTGTGGACGCTCTGTAACTAGGCTTGTAGTCTTTTGTGACTGATGGCGATATTTTTTTTAAAATGGCTCTAAATCCCTTCAAAATCACACACAGCAATGTTAAATCACAGTAGCAACACATGAGATTAAGGTAAAATGCATTTTATTAAAAAAACAATTTTGAATCAAATGCTCTGCTTGGGTTGCCTGTGATCGTACGCACGTTGACGCATCCGTGCTTGACCTGTAAAATAAACAATAACATTTGACCAATCAGAGAGCGTTCATTGATAGCTATAATGTAATGAAAAATACCGCGCGTATTTGATGACAGTGAATTAATTATTAGCAAGCTCACTTTCATCAAATACAAGCGGTATATTCCATTAATTCTTTGATAACCATTCCCTTTTAATAATATCATACCTACATATATATATATATAAATATTCGATTCTTTAGAATTAAAGTCATTGTGTAGAAGTACATGGTATCGCGAATTACATAGCGCGTAGACGTGACGTTGAAACAATAATTAATAAGTTAAAGCAAATTAATTAGCGAAACATCAGGCCCGTCAATCGCTGTGAAAAAAAATCATGGAAGTTTGCAAAATCCCAAGAAATCCTTTATTTATTCCTCTTCTTAATAGGTTTGGAACGGCATTTACCCCGCTTGGTGCTATTTTTAGAATTGCTCATTATAAATTCAGCGCAAAATAGCCAATCAGAAAGCGACTTGAACTATAGGTTTCTGAATGGCCGACCGCCGACAGCAGTTCCGAGGAAGACGAACTTTTACAGGGGCGGATTTAGACTAGTTCAACTAGTTTTCGGAAACTAGTCAGATTTTTCCCAAAAATAAAATAATGAGTGATACTTTAAATAGAATTATGTAAACGAAAAGAATTAGAGAGTATTTTACCGTGTAGCTGATATTACGATCGCTTTGGCCGCCATTTTGAAAAGTTTGCCACGGGAAGCCCACATTGAATCTGCAATGAGAACTAGTTTTGCCTTGTGGGAGGGGACCCATCGAAACTTTTGCCATCCGAAAGCCTGTCTCGAGCCCAGAGTCTGTCTGATGCTCTGGCAGCGGACTATCGCGTGAGCGGCAATCTCGTACCCAGAGCCCGCACTTTTGCCATCAAGCGGATGTCAATGCGTGAGAGACTCTGGAGGAAACAATTTTTTCTCGATTCGCGATTGGTTGAAAATGACGCGAGCGCGCATTGTTTTCAAATCGGTTTTTCAAGTCGCCAGCGCGCGCTCGCCTGTTTGATCAAAAAATCATACTTTTATCGCATAACCACACATGTTTTCACACATTTGCGTCAATACTGTTCCTAAACTAAATTGTGTGCTAAACCTTCTTCTTTTTTGTCATTTTGATGCACTAAGCGGCAAAAACAAAACTGAACTAATTTACATAATTTGCGACGGAAAAGCGTCGCAAATCCAGTCGATTCCTCCAGAGTCTTTCCGGCGTCATCATACCGCTGACATTAGCCGTGAAGACTCTGGGCTCGAGATTGCGTGAGCGGTGAACTAGTGCAAAATGACGTAGGCAGTGGTTCACACAGGAATCCCGACTAGTTTCCGCGATCAAAGTTGTTCACACAGGAAACCTGAATGCTGTTTTCAGCCAATCAGAATCGAGCTTTGGTTTGTACGAGGGAGGGGTAGGAGCTAACCAGAAACTACTCGGAAACCAGTAGAAACCAGTGATTACCCTACCCTAGTAAGGCTATGCTGTCAGTTTAGCAAAGATTTTGAAATAATTGGCTCGAAATGATTAAGACCCTAAAACAACACTAACTGAGCAAATGGAAAAAAGATCGAGGCCATAAATACTACCAGCACTGTTTAGATCTGTTGCTCTTGTGTCGGAATGTGGATAAACCTCTCGTGAAACTGTTCAAAGGAAATTCCTGTAGTATACATTGAATTCGCCAAACAGATTCGGATTCATGCATGTGAACATTCTTCGTGCTTGGTATGTATTGAAAATAATTTCTGTTGATTTAAAAAGAATGAAAACGCTTGAACCGAATAAGTTACATGTCAAACACAGTTAAGAATTGATAATTTATATTCGAAATACAATTTTCTGGAATTCGGTTGCTAGCGTCATCTACCGCGGCGCATTGCCGTCCCTTGTGTATGTTAACAAGTTGGCTGAATCGGCTTAACTAGTTCATTAGTTTATTAGAATCATTTTGCCGACAGAAAAAAAAACAACATTTCAAAATTTATTTAAACATTTGGTTTTTTTCAGGCCGATGTTATAAATATTCATGTTTTAATTAATTAGCATATGTCAATACAACATTTTTTTTAGTTGGAAACTAGTCTGTAAAAATGCTAGATCCGCCCCTGTTTTATATATCATAACAACATTTTGCATTCCAATCTCTCATAACACATAAAACATTTTTGAATGTTTTAGATTTAAAAATCTTTGAATTCAGGAATGACTGATTTGCGAATAGATTTTCTTCAGTTAGACGAAGTTATTATAATAATATGTAAAAATGTAAATTGATTTAAGTAAGTAAACTAAAAACCTCTCGGAAAAAATAGTCTTACATACAATCAATAAGATTAAACGCTGCAAAAGATCGATGTTTGAACCCGGCCTACACTCGAACTTCAAATCACAGAAAACTGCAAAAATATCTTACAAATCTTTTACCTTGATTCTTGAACTTCCGATAAATGTTGCTCTCTGAAATACTGGGAAAATTCTATAGATTCTATAGTTGCCTTTTTATCGTCGTTATGCTAAAACGGTGAGAAATGGCATAAGAAACTCGCCTTATTATATACATACTGAGATTTTCTCACATATATTTCTATTTGAAAATCCGTTTCAAAATATTAACTAGCCAATCATAGGAGCGAAACGAATTTCTCACACGTGCGAAAAGCGTTTCGTCCAATCAGGAAAGACTTGTGAAAAAGAACCACGGAATTCAATCAACAACTTCAAACTTCTTATGACTAGAGACAAGGCATTTTAGAAAGTGAATTGACAACTAATATTGTGAGGAGAAAAACAGAAATTCAACAGCTAAAACGGCGAGTAACGGAAAGCTAACTCGATGAATTTCCGCGGAGAGAAAAAGTCTTAAGCAAAGAAATTCAATTCCAAGAGACCGAAAGCAAATAGCTGAACGAATACATCTCTGATATCTCTGCGACTTCATTATAATTGTGAAGCCTAAAGACACTGAAAGTTTCTGAACCAGCAGGCCCTTAAGATATATTTTCAAATTTTAATCGACATCTAAAAGAATTAATGCAAATATTCCCAGTATATTTCCCAAGACCACAGCGAAAACTCACTCAGTTCCAGCACAACTTCGATGTTTGAAACTGAAACCCGCGCTTGTCAAGTCAACCACCGTCGCCAGCAGTAGAACTTTTCAAAGAAGCTGGATTTTATATGGCAAATTTCTCAGTATTAAATATAAGTCCTAGATGTACTTCATCTTCAACAGAAGTATAGAAAACAGAACACTATTATATGGATAAAACGCGTCCATAAAAGTTGATTTGCGACGACGGCGATAGAAAGTAAACAGTTTCATTGATTAAGGTTTGTAGGCTTGTTGCACTTTCCTCTAATGTAGCTTTTCGTTATTTTTATCATAGTCAGTGAACGAAAATTGACTGTAAGCTAAGTTATTGATGTGATTTATTTATAATTATCTAATTCAGCATTTAAATTGTATCGTAGTTTGATCGCAAATAACTAGTAAAGCGAGTTTGTAAGACAAAACCATCATTAAAATGCACAAACGTCGCTCAAGTAGACGCTAGCTATAAAATCTCAGTATGTATATAATAAACAAACTTCATCATGGAAAGTGCTTTTGTACGGGATTTTCGMAYKMKTTGGTKWTGAATCTAAAATCTCACYCGTTCGCTACGCTCACTCGTTCGATTTTAGATTCATCACCAACTCGTGCGAAAATCCCGTACGTCAGCACTTTCCATGAAGAAATCTATATTTATCGTTCAAAGATCCGTATTCAGCAGAACCATAGTTATGGCAGAACCATACTTGTTTCAAGTATTCTCGGTTTGCACATGACGTCATCAGTCGAAAAAAATTCTAAAATCACAGACACACAACATTGCATCAGTAAAATACCTTAAAGAGCTTGATAGAAGTTCTCTCCGAAAGTTTAAACTTTTTTTGCTGTGTATTCGTTGAGTTATTAACGTTCAAAAATGTGTCACGCAATACTGTCACGCGACTTGAACAAGACAAATAAACCTCAGAAAGCCTACTAATTTTAAAACAAGTATAGCCTAAGCATTGAATTAAATGTTTAAAATGTTATTGTTGTAAAACTAAAGCAAAATCATTAGTATTGACCTCAATTCGACGCTCGGAGTTACTGTCCGCCATGTTCGTGCATGTACTGGATCAGTACACTGTCACGGCTTTCCCATACATTCCCTTGTAAAGTAAGACCGTATTCAAAAGCTTATATTTTTGCTACAAAATTTCAGTTTGACTTCAAACTTTGCATAACTGTTGGTAATTATATGCTGTACTTGGCCCTGGATATAAAATATCCATTTCGATCTTAAAACAAAGATTTTTAGGTATTTCTTGACCAGTCTAAAACACATTGAGCCGTGGTAATCCCATACATTTCTGACCAATTTTCGATCGCTCGTATTTCTGTTAAAAAGCATTATTCTGGCTCAAACTTTCGTAGTAATCCTTTAATTTAGATGTTCTCTTGAGAACAATAATAATATTCCGCTAATTGTGCCTCTAAATAGCATTTTTAGAATATCACGTGATCAGTGCAAACCGAGAATAGGTTTCATCAATTTATAGCCATTTAAGGTCTTTAAGACTGTAAGAGGGTGTCAATGGGGTTAATATTTAACTGCCTTTTGGCATAAAAATAGTAGTTAACTGACTTTTTGGCCACAAAATAGTAGTTAACTGGCTAATGAAAATCGTATAATTAACTGACTTTCTTACTAATAATTAATTCAGGCGCGTAGAGTCCTTTAAGCATATACGCACGTGCATACTAATAGCAAGCAAATATTAACATTTTCAAAAGTTTTTTGGTTCTTTTTACTGGTCATTTTACTGGTCACTGTTTGAGTAGTGAAGCTCCGATGCACATGTCACGTTTCACGAGCGCCCAGGCTATCCTCACGAGCATTGAACTTGTTGACCAGACATGGCTGGCTTTGTCAAGGTCATCAGTGGTTTCCATGAAATAAATGATGGGACGGCCTTTGAACGCCACAAATACCCATTACTTTAGGTGAACACAAATCTGTTGACTTGATGGAAAAAAATATCACCAACTTTATGGGGCTGAAAGATCTTGCCTCCAAAAATGGTCTTTTCTTACGTAATATGGATACAGAACTGCTACAAGTAAAAATTACAACCCATATACATAAAATGATTGCACAAATCAGTTTATTGATGATGCTAGCATTCTAAATGTAATTTATAATGCAATGGCATTCGATACAAGAGACCAAAAGTTTATGTCTATCTAACACTAGTAGTTAACTGACTTTTGGTCAAAAATTTAGTACTTAATTGACTTTTGACCCCAAAATTAGTAGTTAACTGACTTTTGGGTACCCCCATTGACACCCTCCTGTAATTCTGACAATTCTTGAAAGTAGGCCTAAAAACGCTTGAAAATAAATTCGCTTTTCAGTTTTCGCAAATCGATTTCCTGTATGTGCAGACGCGTTGTAATTATGACAAAATTTGGACGATAAATATTTTATGACAAAAATTCGATGTTAAACAAATATTTTGGCGCATTTTTTTTTTCGCGCGGAATATAAAGTAGATAGAGAGTACCACTTCTACGCCATGAGGAGCGGAGGAGCTGAGGAGCAACCAATGAAAAGCGACGAAGCGCCTCGCGACCAATGAGGAGCGAGCGTCCGTGACGGCGTCGGTAACAACGCTTATTGTTATGTTCCGCGACCAATGAGATAACGGCGTCCCTCCGCGACCAATGAGAAGGCGAGATCTTTAACGGCATCCATCTTTAGTTCAAGGTGGAATGCTAGCGCGTCATTTCCGGTTTTTTTCAATAGGAACGTTAATCCCTCGTCTTTGAGTGAATTTATGAATAAGAAAATCGGTCATGGAGCCCCGTCGCAAAAAAACTGTCACAAGAGATGAAGTTGAGAAATGGAAAAGAATATGGACCTTTTAAGAAAGTGGTGTCTAGAAGTCTGGTGAGAAGTCTCACCAACGAGTTTGCAAAGTTGAGTTTGGAAGAAAAACAATCTGGCGAAGAGAGAATAGAATTCAAGACATCAACACCAAACAATGACAGTGAAATATGTGAAATGTTCTCGATGGCAAAGAAGGTATCTCGAAAACAAAAACAGAAGAACTTCACGTGCGAAACAGTTGAACCACAGTGACAAGAGACAATGAATGTATATCGCTGTAAAGAAACAGCCATGACTCGATGATCACTATAAACAGAATAGTTAACAACAACATTTTGCTTCTGAAGTGACCGTCATGTTTCTTGACTAGGATTTATCATAACAACAACATTTTGCTTCTGAAGTGACCGTCATGTTTCTTGACTAGGATTTATCAAAAAGTGCTTCCATTTAATCTCGATATAAATATTGTCAAGCATTCGATTGAAAAATGTTAATTTGAAGCTCAAATTTGAACACAAGATTATACACCATTATACAAATTTCAAAAACGTTCTTTGAGGCTTTGTTGGCAAGCGACAGAACGATGTATGGACAGTGAATGTAKGCATGCTGAATTTAACATCAACGAGAAGAAATTGCAATAAAGAAAGGAAATGAAACTGTTTGTAATGGCTTTATTCGACTCAACGACGTCTCTGTTATAGTTTAGATCCCTAAACTCYTTTCTATGTGAGCAGTTTTTCAATGTGTTTTGAATTTGCATATTGTAGATCATGCTTCGTTGATCTCGCTTGCAATAAGCTCTTGAATCTTCGTTTGTACAGTTGAATCATTTTCGTGAACATTAACCCATTTAAAGCTACCATTTATCTGGTTTCGAATCTTGACTGGCCAGTATAGTTCGCCTCCTAAGCTGACTCCTGGGTGATTGGGTTGATGTGGATTGCGAGAGGTTTTATACATCTCTACTATGGTATACCCTTTAGGTATAGACTTGACATAATCGACATTGTTGGTGTAATTTTGCCATACAGGTATGATAGCATCGGACCAGAAAACTGAAGGAGTCCGTGACTGA